CCGGACTCGGCGTCATGGGCACTGTTGGGTTTTGCCCGTAGTTCAGGTAGAACGGGGACTGCTGCGTCGTCGCTGACGTGGCGTTGTTGTACGCGAACTCAATCAGCGGCAGCTGCTGCTCCCAAGTGGTGGGGTCGTCGCACGTGGTGCGAATCAACTGCTCCATCGTCTGATTCGTCCGCTCCGTTAGACCGTAGGTCTCGGGGTGGTACGACGAGCTGAACTGTAGCCTGGTCCCGAACTGCTCCCACAAGTTCCTCCAGAAGTTGCTTGTAAATTTCGTATCCCTGTCGCTGATGATCGCTGCTGGTATCCCGTGCAGGCGAACAACGGTCGCGATGAACAGGCGAGCGGTCTCCTCGGCTGAGATCGACTTTTTGCACGCAGCGAAGTGTGCCATCTTCGTCAACCTATCTACGACGACCATTACCGCGTCGTTACCCCCGGGGCTCGAAGGTAACCCCGTGACGAAGTCCATGGTAACCTGCTGCCAGGCTCGCTCGGGCGGTGGTATCGGCTGCAACTGACCCGCCTTCCGCTTCCTCGAGCTTTTCATCACCTGACACGTGGGGCACGAGCCCACGTGCTGCTGCACGTCGGTCAACAGCTCCGGCCAGTAGTAATACCGCTGCAGTTGCTGTCGCGTTTTTTCTACCCCGAAATGTCCCGAGGTAATCCCGTCGTGTGCCTCCTGCAGTAGCAGTTCCCTCAGTAGTGAGTACGCGGGTACCCAGATGCGGTTGGTGCCTGTTTTTACGTAATAAACTCCCTTAGCTTCTGCCAGTTGCTGTGAATTTCCAGTCGTGAAAAATGGGTCGGTGCGGTATCCGTGGGTGAATAGGCCTGTTAACAGCGGGTTGATCTGGGCGAGTAGGATGGCATGGAGTTGGGCGGTAGGGCGGGTGAGTGCGTCGGCAATGTTTGACGCGTCTTTCTTGTACGTAACTGTGTAGTGGAAGTTGGACTCCAGATAGTCCAACCAGCGGATCTGTCGCGGATTGAGATTCGGTTGGGCGCGCAGGTACTGTAGTGATCGGTGGTCTGTCCGTACTGTCACGTCGGCGCCAGTCAGGTAACACCGCCAAACCTTGAACGCGTGCACGATCGCCAGCATCTCGCGGTCGTGTATCGGGTAGTTGCGCTCGGGCGGGTGCAGCTTGCGGGACTCGTACGCGATTGGCTGAAGGCCGTTCCCGAAATCCTGCAACAGTACTGCTCCCACAGCGATGTCACTTGCGTCGGTGACGAGCTCGAACGGTCGGTGCGGATCTGGGATGTGAAGTACGGGCGGCGAGCACAAATTTTTTTTGAGGGCCGAGAAGGCAGCTTGCTCTTTCTCCCCCCACGTGTACTCAACCCCCTTCCGCAGTAAGTCGGTCAGCGGGGCGATCAGCTTCGCCATGTCGGGGACGAACCGACGCACGTAGTTGACGAACCCCAAAAAACTCTGCAGCTCAGTCAGATTCGTTGGCGCGTGCCAAGCCTGAATCGTCGCGATCTTCTTCGGGTCTATTTCCACTCCGTCAGCTGAAATAATGTGGCCTAAAAACTCCAGTCTGTCCTGTAGAAACTCACACTTAGACGCTTTCGTCAGTAGGCGGTTCTCACTCAGTATTTTAAAAACTGCTTCAATGTCCTGTAGGTGCTGTGCTCTGTCGGGGCTGTAAATCAGTATGTCGTCGAGAGAAACGATGACGCACTTATCTAAGAGCGGGCGGAACGCCTCGTTCATCGTCATCTGAAAAGTGGCGGGGGCGTTGGTCAGTCCGAAGGGCATGACGGTGTATTCGAAGGATCCGTAGTGGGTGTGAAATGCGGTCTTAGGGCAGTCGGGCGGATTGACGCGAATCTGGTGGTAACCCCCTCTAAGGTCAATTTTCAAGAAAACCCGGGCTGTGCGCAGTTGGTCGATCAGTTCGTCGGCTCGCGGGATGGGGTAACGCGATTTAATGGTAACCCTGTTCAGTGCTCTGTAGTCAATGCACATGCGAAACCCTCCGTCTTTCTTCGGCGTAAACAGTATCGGTGCGGCGAAGGGCGACGAACTAGGGCGAATGAACTCCTTCTCGAGCAGGTAATCGAGCTGCTTCCTCAGTTCGTCCAGTTCGGGTTGGGTCAGTCGGAACTGTCGCTGTACTGTCGGCTGTGCTCCCGGTTCTAGTTCTATCCTGTGGTCGTGCGGTCGCTGAGGTGGCAGTCCCGTCGGCAGGTCGTCTGGGAAAATCCCGCAATACCGCTTCAGGAGTGCTGCCAGGTCATCCGGTACGTCGGCAAGCAATTTCTGTAAGTCCCCCCCCTGGTCTGCTGCTTCGGCTTCCCGAATGTCAACCGCATACACGTCAGCTCCTGCCGCTACGGCGCGCTTCATTGTGATCGCGTTGACACGCACCGACGAAGACTCAGGCGAGCCCCAGCGAGGTAGGGCGATGTTGTTACCGTTCACTCGCACGGTGCAGTCACCCGTCGTCCAGTCGATTCGCGGATTGTGTCGTCGCAACCAATCCCGACCGAGTAAAATGTCGGTTCCGTCGAGGGTCGTCGCGAGCATTTCTTGGCTAAACGTGAAGTTACCCCCGCATCGAATCCGAACCCGGTCTACGCGTTCCCGTATCGCCAGCGGCGTGCCGTCAACCAGCCTTGCATCGATCTCAGGTAAGCATTTATCCAGTGGCAGTTTCAGCTTTCGTGCCGTGGCAGTGTTGATGAGGCTGTGGCTGGCTCCCCCGTCTACGAAGATTTTAACTAAGTCTGTCCCGATTTTCCCACTAAGCAGTATGGGGCTGTCTACCGTGGTCCCCTCCTTATTCGGCCGAGTGTGGTCGACTGCGTGAACCGGCACAATCACTCGGTGAGGGTCGGTTGGGTCGGGCGAGCGGCGTGACCTGTCAGTAGAGGGCCCGTCTGCTACTGACTCCCAGCGTTTCCCTGCTGCTTGGTCTGTTTCTGCTGCTCAGCTTCCCCCTTTCCCTTAGCGTTTTCCGGGCATTCGCTCTTGCGGTGTCCCGGCCGATTGCACGCGAAGCAGCGCCCTTTGAACGGTGCGGCAGCGGCATTCGCGGCGACGGCACGTATCGTAGCGCCCTCGTTCGTCCCACGAGACCGATGTCCCCAGTTGCTGCTACTGCCGTAGGACCCCGGTCTCGGTCGGCGGAAGAAATCGAGTTTCTCCGCCATAGCGAGAATCTCCTGAAAGTCGGTGACGCCGCGAAGCTGGATTTCCTGAGCGATATCGTGCTTCAGGCCGCCGATGTAGCAATCGACGCGCTCGCTCTCGTGCATGTATCCCACTTGCTCGCATAGCGCCAGAAACCCGCTGGTGTAGTCCTGGACGGAACCGAGTTGGCGCCAAGTGCGGAGCTTCTGTCGCGCCGCGATCGAAGCCGCAATTGGCTCAAATCGGGCACGCAGACCTGCGCACCACGCGTCCCACGTGCGATACTGGGGCACCTCCACGAAATACGACGGCGCCCAGGGTCCGGTTTGTCCTTCCCGTGTCGGTAGAGTCGCGTAGTCATTCGGCTTCGTGACGATGACGCGCCACCAATCCATGGCGGGTCCTCGCAGCAGCGACACGGCGTAGCGAATCTTTGCCGTATCCTCCGAGACGTAGTTGGCGTCGAAGAAAACGTTCATCGTGAACAACCACGCCTGAACGGTAGGACCACCCCGTTGACTCGGGTCAAAGCATGGCGGACGCTGCGGCTTCAGCGGCATCGGCGACGGCCGTTCCGAATTGAGGGTCGGTGCCGAAATCGTGACGCGAGGCTGACTTGGGGCCGCATTCGTCGCTTCGGGGTGTGTCGCGCCGTGGTCGTCGTCTCCGTCGTTGCGGACGACACCATCGCTAGCCGCGCTCGCGGGTCGCCCCACACTTCCGTGTTGCGATGTCTGTGGTGCAGGCGGTACCGGAGTGCCAGGTGCTTGAGATTGTGCTTGTTGTGCCCTCGTGAGATCATTTTGCAGGGACGAGCGTTCTGCCGTCAGCGCCGCGATTTCCTCGGAACTTTCGCGCAGCTGTCGCAGCAGATCGTTCAAACGCTCCTGCGTGAGGGTGGTGACGTCGACATGTTCAGCCATAGCGAAGGGCGTCGGCTCAGCTTAGTCTAGGCGCAGTCGTGGCTGCACGCGTTTACGAGAGAACGCGAGGACAGCGGCTCCTAGGGGCTAAGGTGCGTGCGTCCCTTCGAGTGAAAAATCAAAAGTTGATTTCCTGGGGTGCGGAGATGCGCGGTCCGAAAAGAAAGGGGCTCTGATACCAAGTGTTACGGGTGCAATGGATCGAGGTAGCGAGGATTGCACTAAGGTGTCAAACGAGTACAAAATGTGAGCGAAGGCATGAGCGAACATTTATACGCGAAACATGCAAACGGTAACGCGGTGCGTGCGAGCTAGCTAGTGCTACGCTGGCAGCGAGGCTCGGGCTAGTCCCGAAGCGTAGGCCGACACGGCCGGGCCAGCAGTGCGTGGTTTGGCAAAACAGTGCGCGCGAGGTTGGCGAAGTCCCGTTAGCAGTAACGGGCGAACAACGGCAGTGCTGTACGCGATGTAGCCGGACTCCGTAAGGAAGATAGAGGAAAATTCCTTACACAGACATAAACGCCACGAGGAAGATCGCAACAGAATGTTCACGGGGGATTTGGCTGAACATTTCCGCACTTGGCTCACCCCAGCAGCTTGCACTAAATTTGCACTTCGGTACGTAATTCCTGCAGACGTGAGTACAAGCCCTCGTGGGGTTGTTCAAGAAGAATCAGTAGCTCCAAACCAGACACATTTTTCAAACCAGCCTTCGCTCAATCAGCAGTTGTAGCATAACGTATTTCGGAAAGCTTTCGCAGCCGTCGCATCGCAAAGGCGTTGTCTCCTGTCTCCGTTGTGACCTTGCGACCGAGTGTGAACGCCGCAGTACTTAGCTGTGCCTCACTGTCCTTCCTTGATTCTCGCTTCCGTAGAAGCGCGTAACTCTTAGCCTCGCGGTAGTTTGCCGTTTAGTTACTGCCATGTCAGATTCAGAGGACGATTTCGAGCAAGAGCTTCTCCAGGCCGTGGGTCGCGCCGGCAGAAGCGGCGGCAGAAGCGGCGGGGGAGACGGCGGAAGGAAAGGCGGAGGCGGCGGAGGGAACAGGCGGAGCAGCAAAGGCGGTCGCAGCCGTCGATCTGGATTCCGTAGCTCGAGCAGCAGCGAAGATCAGCCGTCGGATAACGAGGATGACGATGACGAGTACGAGGATATCGAGGAGCGGGAGCGCGCGAGAGGCGCGCGGGGATCCGCCGGCGCGGAAGGGAAAACGGATACCCGCAGCCGCGGAAACGTCAGCCCTCCGCGGGGAAGCGGCTTCCGCAGCGGTGGCGGCGGCGGGGGCGGCGGGAGCCGCGGAGGGGGAAGGGGAAGCGGGTCGGATGAGGATAGAAGGGCACGCGGGAGCGGCGGGGGGGATGGGGATTCGGAAAGCAGCGGTTTGTCGTTTGGTAGCGATTTGTATAAGGACGACGACGATCGCGAGCGGTTACAGGCGATGAACGAAATCGATCGCGAGCAGATTCTGTTCGAACGCGACGAGAGGCGACGAAACCACCTGGACAAACGGGAGCTTCGCAAGAAGCTTCGCCAGCAGCAGAAGCTGCACCCGCAACAGCAGCAGTCGTTTCAGCGCACCCAGGAGCGAACGCCGCGCGCATCCGCGCGAGAACCGGCGGCTTCTCCCGCAGCCCCGCCGCCGGCGGCAGCGGCGGCAGCGACGCCAGAACCGGCGGCGCGCGGAGCGCCAGCATCGGGATCCGCTCCGGGGTCGGCGGGGGGACCGTCGTACACGCCGCCGGGATCGGCGGTGGCGCGCGCGCGCGGGTTCGGCGGCGTGGAGCGGAGCCGCAAGGAGGACGCGCTGCAGCAGCTGGAGGCGAAGAAGGCGGCGAAGCAGCAGCGGCGGAACGACCTCGACGCGGATCGCGGCGCGGATAGGGATGCTTCCGACGACGGCGGAAGCGACGATGCGCTCGCGTCCCGCCGCAAGCCGCCCGCGCCCGCGGACAGGAAGCCCCCCGCGTCCGCGCGCTCCCGTTCCCGCTCGCGCTCGCGATCCCGTTCACGATCGCGCTCCCGCAGCAGCAGCAGGGGCAGGGGGAGGGCGCGGGGGCGGGGGAGGGGGAGCGACAGCGACGCGAGCAGCAGCAGCCGCAGCAGCAGCAACAGGCCGGCGGCGGCGCAGCCGCAGCCGCAGCAGCGCGAGCAGGAGCTCGGATCGCAGTAGCAGCAGCAGGAGCAGCAGCAGCAGCAACAGCAGCAGCAGCAGCGGCAGCGACAGGGGCAGCACGAGCAGCAGCGACGGGGGCCGGGGCGGGAGGGACGGGGGCCGGAAGCGCGGCGGGGACCAGTCTAGATTCGCTGAACCTGATGATTTGGCGCAGATTGTGGTGACACGGTCGAAGCTGTCTGCATGGTGCATGGAGCCGTATTTTGAGTCGCTGGTGTGCGGGTGCTTTGTGCGACTGGGCATCGGCATGAACCCGCATGGCCAACCTGTTTACCGCATCTGTGAAGTGGTGGCGGTGGATGCTAAAGACCCCTCCAAACAGGGTTTCTGAGGCACCATAAGGGTCAACTAGAGCGTTGCATTCCCAAAATGGTGGCTATTCCAATCCTAGTGCCATAATCCCTGCCTTGTGTCACCACTACAAGTTTGAGGGGTGCTTCATGTGCAGTGCCCCTCACCAATGAGGGGCGCTGCCAGTGACCTTTGTCAGATGAAGTCTCCCTTGTTCCCCCTGCGGCCATTCTCCCCGTACCCTACTCTCCTCCGTGTCACCAGTACAAGTTTGAGGGGCGCATGATGTGCAAGTTCCTGGACTGCAAGTGGGGCGAGCACAGGGCGCGCTGGCAGATGGCTGCAAGGGCCGTATGACTCACCCTCTTCGTTCCCCCGTGCCCTCCTTCCCCCCTCCTGCCCTGCCTCCGCCCTCCCACCCTCCTTATGCTCCACTCCCCCACCCTCCCGGCCCCCATCCCCTCAGTACAAGTTTGAGGGGCGCATGACGTGCAAGTTCCTGGACTGCAAGTGGGGCGAGCACAGGGCGCGCTGGCAGATGGCTCGTGTCTCCGACAAGCCCGCCACCACTCAGGAGATCCTGCAGCTGTTCCGGGAGATTGAACGCGCCCACCTGCACAGGTAGGCTGGTCGCACATGGGTTGTTGTGGGGCTGCTCGCACCTGGGCACAGGTACTTTGGGCAGAGCACAGGGCGCGCTGGCAGATGGCACGTGTCTCAGACAAGCCCGCCACCACACAAGAAATACTACAGCTATTTCGGGAAATTGAGCGCGCTCACCTGCACAGGTAGGTTAGGTTGGTCGCATATGGGTTGTTGTGGGGCTGCCTGCTCGCACCGGGGCACAGGTCCTTTCCGGCGGGCACAGGTACTTTGGGGCGGGCACAGGTCCTTGTGGGGCGAGCACAGGGCGCGCTGGCAGATGGTGCGTGTCACAGACAAGCCCGCCACCACACAGGAGATCCTGCAGCTATTTCGGGAGATTGAACGTGCCCACCTGCACAGGTAAAACTGGTGGAGGGGGTGCGAGGGTATGTGTTGTGTACTCCGCTGGGGTGGTTAGTAGAATGATGCGCCAACCCTCCCCATACCCGCTCCCAACATCCCCGCTTCCTCCCCCCCCCCAACCACACCCCTCCTTAGAGTGACCAAGGCAGCGGTTCAAGAGAAGAAGGCGGAGTTGGAGTCGGTGAGGGGGTATGTGTACTCGGCTGAGGTGGTGGCCAGCATGCTAAGGGAGAAGCGTGCAGCAGCGGCGCGGCCGAAGCTGGTGGTGATGGAGAGGGAGAGGGTGCGGCTTGATATAGCCGCTGCTGAGCAGCGGGGTGACTTGGCAGCCGTGGAACAACTCAAGGCGGAGGTGAGAGAGGGGTGAGGGAGTGGAGCTGACACATCCGATTTCTTCCTGTCATCTTATGAGGCTCACTTTCATGGTCTCTTTCCACAATTCTGGGTCGACTGAAAATATCGCCCATCTGATCGTATTGCTTGCCCTGTTCCACAATCTGTGCCCGCCACTGTCAACTCATGCATCTACTGTTGCTATCACCACCCACCCATGCGTGCCGCCAGCTGGAGAAGCTGGAGAGGATAGGGGAGGACAAGGGCGAGGCGAACAAGGGCAGGCGAGAGGTGGATCTGGCGAGGATGAACAAGCGCAACCGGCAGGAGAACTTTCGCACCGCCACCAACGCCCCCGCTGGCGCCACAGGTTTGTAGAGTGGCTTTGCAGGTGTTTAGAGTGGTACAGGTGTTTGTAGAGGCGCCGCAGGTAAGTGTTGCCCCTCGTGCCATGCCACACATCACGGGAAGTGGACCTGGCGAGGATGAACAAGCGCAACCGACAGGAGAACTTCCGCACTGCCACCAACGCCCCTGCTGGTGCCACAGGTGTGTAAAGAGGCACCGCAGGTGTGTATAGTGGTGCCAAAGGTGAGTGTTGCCCCTGTTTCTATGCCACACATGACTGGAGAGAGGTGGACCTGGCATGGATGAACAAGCGCAACCGGCAGGAGAACTCCCGCACTGCCACCAACGCCCCTGCTGGCGTCACAGGTGTGTTGTGTTGGTTGCACAGGTGGGTGCTGCTGCACATTCGGCTGTGGATCCATTCATTTGCCGGTGGACCCTTTCTCAGAACTACCCTTTCTGCACAGGCGGCCCCCTGCCGCCCCCTCTGCTGCTTCCTCTGCTGCCCCCTGGTCTTCTCAGCTGTCAACCGTCCCTCTACTCCTACCCCTTTCAACAGAGAGCAAGACTGGAGAAGCGGCTGTGGACCCCTTTATTCGGCGGTGGACGCGCTCCCAGAAGTACTACAAGAGCCCCGCCGCCTCCTTTGCTGCCCTCACCCTGCCGCCCCCGCTGCTGCCGCCACCCTGCTTCCACCATTGCTGCACCCTTGTTTTCTCAGTAGGTCAACCGTCCTTCCACCCCCACGCCCTTCAACAGGGAGCAAGACAGGAGAAGCGGCTGTGGATCCGTCCGTTTATTCGGCGGTGGACCTGCTCCCAGAACTACTACAACAGCCCTGCCGCTCTACCGCTGCCACCACCGACACCTCTGCTACACACTTGTTTTCTCAAGTCTGTCAACCGCCCCACCCCTTTCAACAGAGAACAAGACTGGAGAGGCGGCTGTGGATCCCTTCATTCGGCGGTGGACGCGCTCCCAGAACTACTACAAGAGCCCTGCCTCCAAGTCTGCTGCTGCTGCACCCTGGTCTGACAACGAGGAGGAGGGCGCAGGCAAGGACGGCGGAGGGAAGAGCAAGGATGGGAAGGGTAAAGACGGCAAGGGCGAGAAGGGGAAGGAGGGGAAGGGTGCGGATGGTGGGAAGGGTGGAGGAGCGGAGGAGGAGGAGAGGGAGAAGGAGAGGGAGAAGGAGAGGGAGAGGCAGCTGGGGAGCTGGTTGGGGCAGCAGTTGGATGAGCGGGCGAAGCAGGTGCTGCGGAAGCACGCCTTTGACATGGACATAGACCTGACCGTTGTAGACAAGTGGGGAGGAGCAGGGGCAGCGGCTGCGGCGCAGAGAGGCAGTGTGGGGCCGGCGGTGTGGGAAGCAGCGTTTCTGGCGCGGAAGCGGCAGCAGGAGGCGCTGTATGGGGCTCCGATTGGTGTGGCGGCTGGGGAGACCCCGAGGGGGCTCAGGCTGTTGACTCTTAGTGAGTATAAGCGGCGCCGGGGGCTGCCCTGTGACTGAACGAACAAGGATTGATGGAGGGATGTGTTCTGGGCGGTGATGAAGGGCTTAGGGGATGCTACATAAAAGCTACACTGGAGCTAGATCTGCACCACAGGTTAGATGAGGCGGTTAGAGGTGCAGATTAGACGTTTTGTCAGTTGGTTGGGAGCTAGGAGATGTTTCACACTGCATGTTTGCTTGAAGTTGCCCATATCAAGCAGAGAGGGCCTTTTGGCAGTACGCTGCTGCTCCTGAATCATGACTTGGTTACTTCTGTGCCAAAGCAGGTACAGTTTGGCTGCTATTTCGAGCCAGCGTTGCCCCAATGCTTAGGCATGCTTCTCTTTCAAAGCTGAGAAGTTTCTCTTTCAAGACATGACTTGTGAAAAGCTCAAGCTGCGCCTTGAATGACAGCAGGCAGTGCTCGGGAGCTCCTACTCAAATGTCCGAATTGTTTTTAGGTCTTGAAGCATGGCTTCGATCTGGTCATCATCAATCATTGGTTCCCTGCCATCCATCTGCACAGACATAAGTGGGAAGGGGAAGTGAGTGTGTTCCCTTTCACACTTACCTGTCACTGTTTGGTGCCAGGGATCAGTGATGAACAGTGAAAGCCCTGGTGTTAGAAAGTGTGGAAAAGGCCTGAGCAATGGACGTACAGCTAGTGAAGGCACGAGTGATTTGGCCTCATCCACAGTGTCAGGTGCCAGGTTGCCAATCACACACACCTGCACAGGCACAATTGAGACACATGTGGTGAATCACATCGTGAAAAGTGCAACCAGCAAGGATGAACATCTGGCTTCAGAGAATTCGGTCAAGCATTGGAAGAGCTAGGGAGTGGGGTGGGGAAGAGAGGGAGGTTGAGGGCTACTAGGCGAAAGCAGCACTCACTTCAAATTCATGCAGCTTGCCTTTGCCAGCCAATGCCCTGCCACAGCATGACGTCAACCCACAGTGTAATGTCAGCCCATACCATGACAGCATTGCATGCTGAAACCGAGCGGGACTGGAATCTTGTGCACCGGGGGACTTACTCCCTGACTTGCTTCACCGCTTGAGGGTTCTGATACCGGCTGAACCGCTTCACATACTGTAGTGACTTCTCCAGCACCCTGCAAGCAGATTGTACGCATTATTATTACTATTGTAGTACTGAAGGCTTGAAAGCGTCTGAGAGACCCTAACGACGTGATTTAGCTGCAGCCATGACTAAGAGGAACGTTCATGCAAGTTCGATCAGGTACTCACGAATTAAGCTGTAGCATGGGATCAACGTTGTTTTCCCTGAGACTCTCGAGCTTCTTATCGAGGATAAGAGCCACCTCGGCGTTCATGAGGCACTTGGCTCGACTGAACTCTGACACATCGGGGGAAATTAAGATTCGCGAAGCGGTAGGTTCACAGATACGAGAGAGAAGACGGTGCTAGGGTTAGCTGCGAAGGTGTCATGCTGGAGAAGCTAGAATCAGACGCGGCATGATGGAGCTACTAGGCTAGGGAATGGTATGACACCTGATCCGAGCTTCAGTTGACCTGCGTCTTCCTCCTCCGCGACGTTCTCGGACGCCATGCTGTGATGGACGAGCGGCGGCAAGGTGGTGTATTAATATTCCGAAGAACGAGTTTTAATCACTATATAGCAATAAAATCTCACTCAAGTCACGCAGACATGCTAGCTTTACATGAGTTCAGACACAGCTGGCCGAGGACGTATTTGACCAGGGCAGCGACTGAATGGCCGAGCAAGCAGACTCGGCTGAAATCGATGGTGGCATTTCTGGGCAAAATACCCCCTTTACAAGCAGTACAGCTTCGGTAAAGGCTTCCACAAAGTATACGGTTGTGCAATATACAGTTTCGACAAATGAAATCATGGTGAGCCCCCCTTCTGTTCCAGTCCATTGTTGGCCCTCGAGATCTCCAATTCCTAATCCTCCACAACCGCAGATACAATTCCTGGTCATCTCTGCAATTCCACATTTTAGCTCTGGGCTTAGCTGGCAGGGAGGTGCAAGTCCGACGACGGGCCAGGTATTTGCCAGGAAGACTTCACCTTTTTCTCGCGATTTTTGCTAGCTCTGCGTTATTTTCCGGATCTTCATCGAAAATCTAGATCTTCGTGGTGCCGTGTGGGCGAGCCTTAGGTTTCCGACATGGCTCCAGCCAAGGCCGCTGGAGCTGCGGGATCCGGTCCCGCTGCTCCCAAGTCCGCTACGGCGGAGTTATTAGATACTCTTGAGGAGAAATTTCGGCTCACGACGAAGCAGCAGGAGCTCCTGATCCGCGTCGCGACCCTTCTGCTAATCTACATCCTCGCATTCGCGACTCGACTCTTCTCCGTGCTCCGTTACGAGAGCGTGATTCACGAGTTCGATCCCTATTTCAACTACCGGACCACGCTCTACCTCACCCGTAAGGGATTTTACGAATTCTGGAACTGGTTCGACCACGAGACATGGTACCCGCTGGGTCGCATTATCGGATTCACTCTCTACCCCGGTCTCATGGTGACGTCAGCGCTTATCTACTGGGCTCTTCACGCGCTCTCATTGGTGGTTCACATCCGTGACGTGTGCGTGATGACTGCTCCGTTCTTCGCGGCAAACACCGCCATGGTCGCCTATTTCTTCGGAAAGGAGATCCGCGATTCGGGAACCGGTCTTATCGCCGCGATCTTCCTGGCCATCTGCCCGGGTTACATTTCGCGATCCGTCGCGGGATCGTACGATTACGAGTGCATCGCCATTTTCGCGATGATCCTCACGTTCTTCCTTTTCGTCAAGGCCGTTAACACCGGCTCTCTCGCCTGGGCTGCCGGCGCCGCGCTCACTTATTTCTACATGGCGTCATCATGGGGAGGCTACATCTTCATCATCAATCTGATTCCGATCTACGTCGTGGTCCTGCTGGTCACGGGACGCTACACCCCGCGGCTTTATATCGCGTACAACGCGTTTTACATCATCGGAATGCTGCTGGCGATGCAGATCCGCTTCATCGGCTTCCAGCACGTGCAGTCCAGCGAGCACATGGCGGCCCTCGGCACCTTCTGCCTCATCCAGGTACGCATTCAACGAATCTTTCGCTAGACACTTAGCGGTTCTTTTTGCCGTTCGGCCGCATCCAGGTAGGGAGTTAGCGAATTACGGCACATTTTGTCAGACTGAGGTACGGTTCGCGGATTCTTAGCACATTCCCCTCCATCCAGTTAGCAAAATTCCGCACATTCCGTCGTTTTCTTGTACTTTCCGATAGGCACTTCGTCGCTCAAAACCATGTCGATATACCACGGCAGCCCCGTTTCGTTTGCACGATTCCATGGCGTTGCAGCACCCAGGCAAAAGGCAGCAGCTAAGCAATTAACGCTATTTCGCGTCGTGCCGTGCCGTGCCGTCCCGTTCCGTCCGTTCCGTCCGTTCCGTCCCGTGTGTCCGTGCGGCCGGCAGGTGTTCTTCTTCGTGGACTGGGTGAAGCACCAGCTGGCGGACCCGAAGCTCTTCCGCACCTTCCTGCGCGTCGTCGTCTTCTCCTTCGTTGGCGTCGGCTCCCTCGCCTTCGCTGTCGGCATGGCCACTGGTGAGATACGATACGCTGTTGGCGTGGCCACTGGTGAGATACGATACGCTGTTGGCGTGGCCACTGGTGAGATACGATACGCTGTTGGAACGAGGTCGCGAGGTCATGAGTGAGATACGTAATGCTGTTGGCATGGCACGTTGGAGAGAGAGGATATGCCTGAACAACTCAGGGATGTGAGTGCGTAATAGTGTCGACGTATGCGCTCGTCGCATTCCATTCTCTAATCACCTGTCACACCCATCCGACCACGTATGCCAAGGACCACATCCCCATCATCGCCTCTCCCTCCCTCCGTGTCCCTCTGTGCCACTCCCTTCCTTCTCTCCCTTCTCCCCTCTCCTCAACTTTCCCTCTCCTGCTGCCCTCCCCCTCCTCTTGCCCCAGGCTACATCTCCCCCGTGGACGGGGCTCGCTGCTGGACCCCACGTACGCCAAGGACCACATCCCCATCATCGCATCTGTGTCTCCCCTCTCCCCTCTTCCCCTTTCCTCTTTCCCATCTCCCCCTCACCCGCTCCTTCCCCCCTTGCGCGCCAGGCTACATCTCCCCCGTGGACGGGGCGGTTCTACACGCTGCTGGACCCCACGTACGCCAAGGACCACATCCCCATCATCGCATCTGTCTCTCCCCCTTCCTTCTCTTCCTTCTCCCCTCTTCCCCTCTCCCCTCTCTCACTCTCTTCCCCCATCCTCTTGCCCCAGGCTACATCTCCCCCTGGACGGGGCGGTTCTACTCGCTGCTGGACCCCACGTACGCCAAGGACCACATCCCCATCATCGCATCTGTGTCGGAGCATCAGCCCACCGCCTGGTCCTCCTTCTTCTTCGACTTCCACATCCTCCTCATCCTCTTCCCCGCCGGTCAGTTCCGCATTCCCGCTCCTCCTTCGTTGCCACATTTCCCTCCATTCCCTCCTTCCCTCCTGCCCGCACCTCCCCTCCTTCTTTTCTTCCCTTTTCCCTTCTCCTCCTCCCTCCTGCCCCTTCCCCCCCCCTCTTTTCTTTCCCTCTCCGCCGCCACACAGAGAAAATTGTACTTTCCGCCGTGCACTCTCCTCCCTGTCGCCCTCCTTCTCCCCAAACCCCCGTCCTCCTCCCATTGCTTTGCTCCGTAATCTGTGCCTTCCCCTATGCGCCAAACCCCCACCGTGTTCACCCCCCACCCACCCCTCCTCTCCCCCCACCGCTCCCTGTGCCTACTCCGCCCTCCCCCTTCCACGCCAACCTCACCTTGTGCCAAAACCCCCTTTCCATGACAACTTCTCACTGACTGCAAGTGAACTTGCGCAGGGCTGGACTTCCGTTTCAAGCGTCTCAACTCAACCATCACCGTCTGACTGTGTGTATGTGTGTGTGTGCATGCAGGGCTCTACTTCTGCTTCAAGCGTCTGAACGACGCGTCCATGTTCGTGATCATCTACGGGCTGACAGCCATG